ATTCTCTCGACCGACTTTCTCCTCTTGTACGTTACCTTTGGTGCGACCGCGACCGCGGGCCTCATCACTATTGAGCTGCGTGTCCCCGGCGACGAAGTCGGCAACCTCAAGTCGTGGTATCCCGCTCTCACAGACGATGCGGCGAGAGCATTCCTTGTCACGGGCGTTCTCGTCAACTGGGTCGGCCGCCTTCTCTACCCAATGGTCTCGGACGTCCTCATCCGAGTGCTGTACGCCAACCCCGCCGCCGCGCGTAAGGTGTGTCTCTGGCTTCTCGTGCTTGCGCAAGCGCTCGCGCTCGGCGTCGGCTTGAACAGTCCGCAGTTGGAGACGGACTTTTACGTCTTTTCGCATACGAACTACGTGCTGCGCTTTGCGACGGGCGGCGGCGCGTCGACAATCATCTGCCTCCTCACCGACATGTACGGCGTCTACAACGTCGGGACGATGTACGGCTTGATCATCACGAGCTGGTCCATCGGCATGGTCATCGTCGGCGTGTCGTTTGCGGGCGAAAAGCAAGTCTTCTTGCGCCAGCTCGACGCGCTTTGGGTCTTGGCGATCGCCGGCAGCGTCTTCATGCTCTTTGTACGCACCAACTCAAAAGATCGGTTCTTCCGCGGCTACCAGCTCACGATCTGGAACAGAGTATGGATTCAGTGGCCGATGGCATCGACGTCCAGCCATATACTACAGCACGCCGACGACGAGGACTACCACGACATGGTCTTGCTGTCGCCAGACAACGGGTCGTCCTTCATGTGGAGCTCGGAATCTGAAATGGACTTGCCGCATCGGTCAACGGCAAGAGTGCAAACAGTCTAAATACGAACGAATCAAGTATCTTATAGCAACCCTCCAGAATCTCGAAAGCGGCTGCCTGTTTCCATAGAGTGGCTGCTACTTATATCTATCTAATAGTGGACACAATAGTCTAGAGTACTACGGCGGGACCAGGGGTAAATATGTACCCATGGACGGGACGCCGTTGCAATAGCAGCCAAAATTTTACATTTTTTAGATTTCATCAAATTAGACAGGGCTATGGTTTCTGTGCCAGTAGAGCTCTGCTTGTTGTGAGGTTATGGAGTTTATACTCGCGACCTGTAGTTATCCATATTCACATAGACAAGTAACGAGTTGTTGGAGGCTCGTTTGGTCGCACGCTGGGACCTTGGAGTTTCATCGCAGCGGAACGTGCCACGTCACTTGGACCGGATATATCATTTCTTATTATCCGAAAATCATTTCGCGCTATTTTTTAGGCCTTTGGCTTGCAGGATCGATCATGGGCCAT